GTCATTAGTTCCCTAGCAGAACCCTTGCTCCTAGGACGACTCAAAGCAGCAAATCGGATCGAAAGAAAGACGAGGGACCACTTCTACTTCATTCACGCTGCACTCCAGGCCGCTTTTTATGGCATGTATTTAACGCTTCTAAGTGCAAAGCTGCTTCACCTTAACTGCATTAACTCCCATTGGTATGGCTAACAATGAACCGTGAAGCTCACGCATAATCAAGAGAAATGCGGCGAAACCGTATGCTTCGAGCTATCAGTAGTTCTATCGAATCGCAGCGTTGCCCTTATCATACCAAGATGAATCAGAATCCTGGTCGGAATCCTGCGGGAGGCATATTTTACAGGTTTTAACGGATGGAAAAAATTTAGGTCTCTAATGATGTGGATAGATTTCTTCATATTTTGGATTTTTGATTTGTGTTTAAATGTGCATAGAAACTGTGAAAACTGTCGCGAGAATTTCATAAATGCCGTTTAATGCATATTTATTATGCGTTTTGTGCTGTGTAACAGCAATACAAAACGCATATTGTCACGGGGTTTGTTGTATGTGTGTGTGTGTCCGCAGCAACTTGTCCACAACTTTCAACTCGGGAACCACAAAAGCTAGGAAGCCGAAAATTTAGGGGAACTTTCCCCAACCACGTGTAGACCCGGAAAATTTAAATTCAGCTTCCCCGTACCCGCGGTAACACATACGGCCCCGTGAAAGTTTTTTACGGGTAAATTAATATCTCGGGAACCACGGAGTCTAGGAGGCTGAAATTTTAGGATAATAATCCCCCGCCCATGCTTACCTTGCCTATTCAAATTCCGCGTTCCCGCGCTCTCTGGTATTACCTACGGCCTCGTGAAAGTTTTGTCGGATAAACTATTAACTCGGGAATCATGGAAAGACATTCTTCACCCTTCAAGGTTTCGAATTCAGCTTTCATGCGCTGATGCGTGAAATTTTTAACTGTTTTCCAACGTTTGAATTATTTTTGCATAGACTAAAGTACAAAGCAGTAAAATCATTAATAAGCAATCGTTCGATGGGCTAAATTGCACAAAACGTATTATCGCACCGGCTAGTCTGATGCGCGTTGCTGTTTATTGAATCTTCACTCAGCTGGACACTGTGCCGATTCTGGAAGAAAGAAGGATGGGATGAAAACGTTTATTCAAAGAAACTGTACACGATGCTAAGCATCTCAACATTTACAACCTAATTAAATACTCATCTCATTTCAATCGGCATATTTTCTCATATGCAAAAATGTACCTTAAATTTATAAAACACTGTTTTTGGGTGCTTATAACTGAATGATCAGAAACGAACGACATGAAATTACGTCTGCCCGTTCCACTTGAAATTGCGTTCGGCTGATTCGCTAACTTAACTTGAATGTGTGGCATAATGTGGATTTTGGACGCACAAGATCGCTGTGAAGTTACTGGCTGCATAAGTAGAAATTGGTGCTATGAGCTAGCAACTTGTAAAATTGTTTCAGGCCAAACAAAAAAGTCAGAGCCGTTTTGAATCATCGAGGCAATAACAGAAGCAACAGAATGCGTGTTGCGGTGTATCCTATACGGAACTGCGCCGGTACGCCTGCCGTATGTATCGATAGTATCGATAATACATATCCAGCCGTCTATATAACTCATTGAACCTTTGGTACTGACTGCTTGTTTCGTGAGGCAGCTGGAGATTTCTGGTGTCATCAGTGCGCGCTGTT